TATTTCTCCCACAGAAAAGGGCAAAAGACACTCTGTAAATCACGGGGTTCCGCTGTCCCCACTGCTCTCAGTCCCATCATGTCAAGGAGGGTTATTATTTGTTTCTTTTCCCGCTTGGTCTGTATCCATGCAGTAATACTGCAACGAAGTGCAAGTGCTGACAGATCACGATCTGCTCCTGCTGGTTTGTATGTAAATGACAAATATCCCGGCAGAGATTAACAACCTTTGTACTACATTTCTTTTAGTTCTAGACTTTTTTATCACTTCTTCGCAGTCTCCTTATTAGCCTCTGTTGGGAATTTCTTCAGTTACCCCTTGCAGAGCGCAGAGCCCCCGGCGAGGCAGGCAGCAACCAAACAGGGCAGCGATGCAGCCGCGATGTCCTCCAAGCACCAGGGCCGGGAGCAGCGGGGCCGCGAGCCGCTCGCCTCGCCGGGTCCCCAGGACGGCGGCTGCGCTCCCGGCCTCGCGGAGCTCCAGTCCCGCAGGAGCAGCAGGAGCCGGAGCTGCTGCTTGCTGGGGAACTTCCGCGCGCACACGCGCAAAGGAGAAGCAGATTTTCCGTGCAAGAAAGCCCAGAAAATTTCCCATCCAACAGAGAACTGAAATTTAATTTTAAAAGGATCAGAATGAGAGCTCTAGAGCGAGCGAGCTGGCAAGGTACGGTATTTTCTGGGGAACTCTGCCCAGCATCCATTGAGAAGTGGACAAATGTGCTGCATTCATGCACGATGTCATTATGCTCCACTGAATCAGCGTTTTTTGCCTGGAAAACCCTTGGACTCTGGCTGCTCCCTTCTTCCTTTCCCTTCTCCGCACGTAGTTCTTGGCCTTCCAGCGACTGCAGCCCCGCGGGGTGCGCCGGGACGGTGCACAGAGCCCCGGCCGGAGGGGCTGGGGTCCTGCAGCTCGTGCTTGCAGCCAAGGCGTCCCCCTTCCCAGCGGGACACACAAAAAAGCCATCGTGGGGCAGATCCCCCTGGGACGTCGCCGCGGTGCGGGGCGTTAGTGCCTTTCCTTGCTGCAGTGAGACCGAGATGCTCTGCCCTAAGATCTGGATTTACTCCAAGGCTGAAGTCGGAAAAGCTGCGGAGAGGCTCTCCAAAAGGACACTGCTCTAAAAGCAGATAAATGCCATGATTTCTGGCACTGGTCTTCAAATCGCTCCTTCGGGCCCCTACTCAGTAAAGTATTTCTCACTGAATTAAGGGGAATTTAAGTGTATGCTTAAGTATTTGGCTGAACAGAGAGCCTGTTGAATCAGAAGAAGCTACTGAAGGCAGAGCAGAAGCCCTTAAAAATCACAAGGGTTATTTTCTAAAAGTATCTTATTTATTCCCAAGTCCTTATCTTGTTTATAACAAAGAAATGCACTAAATTCCTTTCCCAAGGCTGAATAGTGCTGGAGCACATCCACACCAAACAGACACAATAAAAAAAGTTTGATTTTAGGCAGATTAAATAAGCAAATGGTTATTAGTGTCTTGGCTTCTTTCTCTCTCTTTTGTCCTCTTTATTCCTCTGTTCACAATAAACCTAGAATTTTAGGACCTAGTCCAAAGTACGCTGAATTTGATGGAGCTCTTTCTGCGGGCTTGAGCGGGTTTTGGAGCAGACCTGCAGACAGACGACAGCAGTATCTTTATACAGCTTTCTCATTCAGCATCTAGAGACATAAATATTAATTACTGAAACACTAGTCCAGCACACGGACCCCCCCAAATTGTTAGTATCCACTCTGCCTTGTTACTTCATTCCAAGCTACACTGTTTTGTGTCTGAAACTTTTCCTTAAGAAAATAAAATCTGCAGAATCTGAATAGGCTTCCAATTTCTAGCTCATTTTTATAAATAGTCTTCTGAAACTTCTGTAAGCCATCACACGCAAGGATAAGAACACAGGAGTAATTTCCAAGCTTTGCAACAATCGCTCTCCAGAATGAACATGAACATGACTCAAACTGCGCCGAGGAGCCCAGGCACAGCCAACCCCGCAGCCCCCGGCGGCCTCTCCAGCAAACTGAGCTTGGTTGGTGCAGTTTTTGTGAGCCAAAGCAAAGCAGAACGTCTGTTCCACCTAATGAAGTCTGCGTGAAAGAGCTGGGCCACTTCCACCACCGCAGCCACGACGAGGAGCCGACTGCTCCCACCGACCGCTGCCTTTCACTCTAGTTTTCCAGATCCTTAAACACTACTAAAGGAAACGCTGCAGGTGCTGCACGCCATAAACCTCCTCAAGTGAAATTAAGTGGACAAACGAGCTCCTGAGCTCACACCCCCTGCCCCGTCCCACAAGCAGAGGGGTCCAGCCGGTTCGGATTGACGTATATATTCTCGCAGTACTCAATACACACTTGGAAATCTTAAAGCAGATTGTGAGTTGTCATCTATAACTAAAATATAGAGATACATAGATATTACACGATGTGGTTTGCAAAATGAAAGAAAAACTGTTCTTTTCATGTAAACAAGATTGCTTTCGAATAGCTACTGCTCTAAGAGACATATTGTCACTGGGTAAATGAATCTGCTACCTGTACTTAATCGTTGTAAAGAAAAGGAGCAGATCAACCAGAATATGGATTTTTTTTTCTTTTTTCTTTTTTTTTTGGAATTTGCATGCTTAATACAGAACTAGTAGGTTTAAAATTTCACAGAACATACTATGTGAATCAACTGGATTTTGGAGTTATGTTGAAAAGGAAAATAATGAAAAGTACAGCTTTTCGTTTAAACATATGCAACTCTCTTCATGCAAGGTTTTCTTTTAGTTTTTGATTTTAAATTACACTTTGCATTAAAGAATATAGCCAGTGTAAACACAGTCTGTAACACTTATAAAACAGTGCAAATTTTTAAATTTCTGGGAGGGAGTTGAAACACATATTCATACTGGAGGTAAAATCACTTTCTCGGTAGAAAAATACGTATATTAAACACCTATATGTTCTGAACTTAACTTCACAAAAGAGCAAGTTATAGTTCTATACTGTGTAATAAATTAATATCTTTGCTAGATTCCCATGTTCTGTGTTTGTGTTAAATGCATAACACTTAAAAAATAATAATAAAAAATAAAATAAAAAGAACAGAGAAACATATATTACTTAGAACCTAGTGAAAATCTTATAGATAATTATGGGTATAAGAAGCTACAGAATAAAGAACTGGGGAAAGAAGCAATGGAAAAAATGCTGAACCTCTATGGATTATTGCCCATTTGAGACGATTCTCAGGGCCTTTAGGCCCATTCTGAATGTTTTAAGTCTTAGGTCAGTGTTTGTTTCCATTTGACTGTAGGGCACAGTTTCAGAACCACTGCAAAATGTTAAGTATTTACCGGACTCGTTTGCTGGTTGAACCACAGGCTGCTGTGAGCAGAGTGCTAACTTCTACTCATGCAGTCAAAGAGAGCAACACTAAAAAGATACTGAAACACTGGCAAGGTTGCCTGCATAAAAATGTTTCTGGGGGCTTGTTCCAGCAGATCTTGCAGAGATAAAACTCTCCTGTCTGCTGTGATTTCATTAAAGCTTTGGCAAACACTGCAAAACTGGTTTCTGCCTTTGTTAGTTAGAGCTTCTGCCCTGAATACTGTTGTCTCCATGGTCTGGCTCAGCAACCCTTAACCATCCTGGTGTATAAATGCTCCTGAACCAGAGACTGGTTGGAAGGAAACTCATCTCACTGAGTAGTAATGCATGCGGCTGGCTATCTACAACACTTGTCACCCCACACAGCAAGAATATTCTCCATTTAAGATAAATTACTGTATCTTCATTTTACTGATGGGACCACTCACCTAAGCGAGAAATGCCAGATTGCACCTGCTGCTTAGAAACATCACCTTTACTAATTGCACAGAGAGCAGAAATATTCCTGCTTCACCCATATTAAAAAGGTAAATAAATGGACCCATAGATAAGGAGAGAACTGTCTCAGGTGATTATCACCGCAATTAAAGTCAGACTATTAGTAAACCTGAAAAATTTAGCACTTCATTTCTGAATATTGCTGTAGTAGTTATCTTCTATTGCTGACATCCTCAGTAAAAGGTTATTTTTAAACTGTAACTATTTATTTTGGAAAAAGAAATCCTATGTAAAATCACATTCCCTTTACTATAAATTTTAAAACAGGTCAAGAGGTCTTAAGAAATTTCAAACCAATGGGTTCACCAACAGACAGATAAATGTATACTTAAATTCTTTAAAAAAAGTCATTAAAAATCTGCAAAAATTGTGAAATAATCTATAACCCACACAAAAACTGTTTAAAATCCTTCTAAACATCTTCCAATAGTCTAGTAAGTTGTTTAATAAAAACACATTGCTAACCATTGACTAGGAGTACAACATGCCTCAGTAATAAAATGAGATGGTGATGTGTGCAGGTGATGTACACTGCAGTAACTTTTACTATGCACTTTATTGATAAAGCGGGGAGCTCTTCACCTGCATTGGTTGAGCTGGTCATCTTCTCAAATGTATTTCTGAGATAATGCTACTGGGAAGGTTCCCTCCTCCTTCCTTTTAATAATGACTCATCCTTTGTGGTCTACGAAGGAGACAATCATTTTTGTAGGATGACAAGACACTGGAATTTCCAATCTGTGCTGAAGTATATATGAAAAAAACCCAACAGCTTTCAATTTCAATTACTGTTACATAAATATGGATGTTGGAGATCATATACAGTGAACATTTATCCATCCCAGACTGTAAACCTACTGTAAAACGATGGGATGTGTTTTTGTTCTCCCCCCTCCTTTTTAAAGGACCAATAAAACTGTACATTGAGAGATAGGAAGGACATTGTTGGCTTACAAAAAGAACGTCCCCTTTTGTCAAGAACTTGTAAACGTAAACAAAAAAGTTCAAGTAGAAAAGCAAGTAAGTGTGCTGCTGCTTCAAATGTATTTTGACATCCCATGGGGCTACTGCAAAGTTCTCTAAAAATACGTCTTCATGGTGGTCATGAAGCGTCTCCAAAGAGTTCTGATCTTCACTACCAAATATCGCTGGTGAAGCTAAGCTCCTGTGCAGATAAAGGTAGCAAGGGGTTGTTCCTGGGAAACTCCTGGGGATCCTTCCCGGCACTGTTAAGAGGTAGTTGTCCGTTTAGTAGCGTCAAGGGGATGTTACAGTATGTGTGGTGGTTACTTATGGAAGCTATTGGCAATGTCGCGGCTGACACGTCATATTCGTATCCTCTGCAATAGTGTCTCATTTGCACAGAATCTGCCTGATGGAAATCAGTCAAATCGGCTCGCGATTCTACCAGCGTGGCCGAAGTGCCCGTGACAGCAAGGGAGGGTACAGTCTGGAGGTCTCCGAAAAGGCCCTGTTCTGCAGAATCCAGGACCTGACGCCGAGACACCACCTCCTTTCTCTTCCCTGGCATTTCAAAGACTAGGCGCTTCCAAAACTTAGAATTCAGTTTGCTGCTTTTTGGTCCTTTCCATTTGACCACTGAGAGAAGTTTGATGGTGTGCTTTAAAGATTCCACTTCGTGATAATTCACCTTCCCTTTTAATTCAGTACACTCAATCAAAATAACTTTGATTTCTCCACTGACTAGCATGTTATGGAGTCTGTTTTCCATCTCAAAAATACTCCATCCTCTCCTGAGGACATAGTCTGGAGTTAACACGATAATGAGTCTTCTGCTTTGCTCAACACATCTTGTGAGATCTTCAATGTAGGCTACAAATTATAGAAAGAGAGAAAGAGTAAAGAATAAAGAAGTCTATTGTATCAAAATATCAGGCTTGCAATTAAGTATAACAAAATCCTATAGCTTACTGCTCCACACCATATAAAACAAGAGGTATTTCACAATATATTCCAACAAAAATAGGACTGCATATCACAACATGACATATTTATAGAATACATATACAAAATCCCTCAGTAACACCCTATGTCCTTCACTGTTTTTCCCTGTTGATCTCAACGCAATGACATTTACATAATATCCTTGCTGTGCAGATGCATTTGAGTGACACAAAATACACAGTTCACTTACTGAAAAATTATAGCCCAAGGTGAATGCGATGTTTGTGTAAATTTTAACATTAACACTGGTGGTGATTAAAGTTGCAGTGAGGGAAGCACGCTTTGGGAAGCAGGTCTTGTGTTGCAGATGTGGGACACGAGGATGCTGCGGGGTGTGCAACGTGTGACTAGCAAGTGCTCAAAAAGAAATCAGCCCTCATCACATGCAGAAATTGTATTATTGCATAGAAGCATCACGGTAGCTCTTTCTCCTTTAGGCACTGACCACAGAGCACAATATCCTTCCTTGTGGCCCAATGGTCTTTTTAATATTGCAAACATGTGCTTCTATGTACCCAAGGTATTAACAGAAACTTCACGAGTGGTGGGAACAAATGGAAAAATTGAGCATATCAGAGACATAAGTGACAATTCTTCTTTTATTCATGCATGCCAAGTAGTTGCAAACGATTGGTGTAAGCAGAAACGCTAGCCCCATCATTAGCTCCATGATGTCCGCGTACTGAACTGCAAAACATTCTTGAAGCCGGACTTTGGTTTTCGGTGCCAAGTTTCACTTGCCCCAAGGATGATAGGGAAGAGATGCCAGTTACACCAGTCTGACACAGAACATGATGGGAAAGAGGTCTACTCAGACCTGATCCAAAACCCACTCAAATGAACAAATTTCAGTGAATTTCAGAAGGTTTTGGGTCAACTCCAGGAAAAGGTAAATGCTTGAAGAAAGTACTACAGCCAGAAAAGTATTCAATGCTTTCACAGCACTGTGACTACAGAATTAGAGATGGGAGATATATATGTTTATAGTTAAACTACATGAGCATCTCGAGCTCGGGCTGTGCTCATGCCACTCGGGATGTGCTGTCTGACAACAGAGAAGAAGCAGGGGTTAGAAATGACGACTTGGACACAAGAGCTGCACAGAACAGATCTTTACTCAGCACAGGGCAGGGCCTCGCTTACACACACTGCCCTCTAGCAGGAACAACGAGTACAAATAACAGCATTAATCAACATCTGTTACTGCAAGACTTATTTTTGTAGTCCCAGGCACCATACCACAGCATGCTTATTCACACCACTTCCAGTAAAGCAATTAGCTACAAAATAAACCAACAGGAACAGTTTAAAATAGCTTATTTTCATGAGACTGAAAGCATAGTTAGCATAAAATCTGCCTTTACCAATGTTTTATTTCACCACTTAGCAGCAAGAAGAATTTCTTTCACAAATGGAAAAAATGCAATTGTAAACATCCTACAGACAGACAAATTTAAGACATACACATACATTACAAATGTCTATGCAACAATCCTGACTTTTAGTTCATGTTTTATGATTCTTTAATCATGCAGCATTTACAGTTATTTGATTTTTCTTCTTAAAATATTTTATGAGGAAAACCTCCACATTGCTCTGTGGCAAATGTTTGCTCATTGATGAAAAAAATTGTCATTAAAATCCACGGGAGAGGCAGCGGAGGGGGAAAGAATCAGCAACACTGAGAAAATGATAAGCAGAACTGGTGAAACAAAACTTAAGGAAAGGTAGAAATGTTCAATACAATGGAAAGAGATTATCCCAATGTATCAACAGCTCAGACTCTTCATTTTCTTCCTTTCTTTCTGCTCCCAAAAAGAAAGAATTTAGGTGGGAAGCTTCATCATTAGAGGTTGAATCTGCAAGATACAGTAAAACAACAAGCTATCATGCATCTTTCCTGAGACATGATCATCCCTTCGACAAGCAACTCAGAACAGGGCTATGCACAAGACAATTCTCTGCAGGACACAATACCATTCAGTACCACAAATACTGTGCGCATCTACTGAAACAAAAACAAAAACACACTCCGATTGCATCTTTTTAAATGTCCAGTGGCAATAACTCGCACAGCAATAACCCATCAATAATCCATGAATGATAGCAGCTCAGTCAGGAACTCACCAGGCTTTGTGTTAGTTGGACAGGGAACGAGACAAGAGGAAGGTATGAAAGACTCTCAGATTTCCCGGATGGACTCCTCTCCCCTCGGTGCTTCTCCCACATTTTGCTATGTCCAGTTTAATTACTGGATAATACAACCATTTCAAGCCTTTTTCCTTTTCTTCTGTTACAGATGACCACATAGGCCACTTCCCAATTACCACTAGGTACTCTTTCAAACACCAAGCTTGCAAATTGCTCCCTGATAGACACGGCCTGTGCGCAGGGTCTGTTGTGCACTGAGGATGACACAGTCAAAAGCCCAAAGAAAAGGCCCTAAGTATTCACAATAGCTTCAGCTTGTGACTACCATTAAACCCAGGGAGGCTGAATGGCTGAAACTTGATGCGTAGCCAAAAAAACACCCCTTAATTTTCACATACAAAGGGAAGGAAAAGGAGCCGACAACTTTCCTGGAGCATGTGGTGCTGCTGCTGCACTCCAGAACATGTCCAACGTGTGTAACCAAAACATTTCTGCTAGGTAAAGCCAAGGGGAGCAGATTCCTGTATAAAGCGTGTGGGAGTTAAACTTCATCAGGACAGACTGACAGCACAAACCTGCGAGCAGCTGCCTCACTCACCCTCCTTTCACCTCAGAATTAAAGGCTGCTCAAAACACTGCAGGTTGAGTTGTCTGTCTTAAGTGTTCGGTTCATTAGAAGCTATTACACCCAGGCTATCTGTATGACAAGTTAGGATGGAGAGAGTTGCTCTCGCCTTTCTATGGAGTGTTTGTCAAGCAAGTGTTTTGACTAAGAAATCAAAGAAAAATTGAGCTAGGACTTCAGGATTCAAATGATCAATTGCATCAATTGTAGGATCCCAGTTAGGTACCAGTAGATGCATACTCCCACCTGATAATATAATTTCATTAAAACTTCATTTTTCTCCCCAAAAAAAGGTTTCAACTGAAATGAAATTTCACTGTGTAGGGAGAAAAAGTCATCTTAATAAGGTCAGCAGAGAATTACTCATTTTTATTTTCCATCATAAATTGTAAGGTAAAATAAAATGTCAATGTTAGAATTAGCCCACTTGATTTTATTGGGAAAAAAAAGCCTTTTAATTTTAATCCAAGACTTTTTGTTTTCATACAATATGTTTTGAATATGGCACAATACCAATTATTAAAATGATGGAATTTCTCATAGGTCAGAAAATCAAAATTTTGGCCACTTCTAACAGTAACTTACATCATGTCCAACATGACATCCAGAGGAATAGGGAGAGCAAGAAACTTCAGCCCCATGAACAAACACAGCTGCTTGCATGATGGCCCTTCAGTAATGAAGACAGATCACCTGACAGCAAATATATATATGTTCACTAGACACCGTTAACACACGTAATGATGCTGAGCTGTAGCTTGAAGCACTGAAGTCTGAGACATTCACCACATTTGCAAAAGTTTAACCATGAAGAACTGCCTACCGGAGCTTGGGTGAGCTACACGAACCACAGGCTGGAAGGAGACTCAGAGAACCTACTACGCAAGCAGACTGACAGCAAGAAAATTAATGAACACCATAGACACAGAGGTGCTTATGCACAGAAAATGACCAACTAGCCAGTTCCAGACGATCTGCAGAAGCAAGTGAGGGAGAGAGAGAGAGAGAGAGCGCGCACAGGACAATTTTATCAAGTCCTACTGATATTTCTGGGAAATGTGGTCAGCAGCA